AAATGTTCAGAAACTCTTTAGAATGTTTCTGAATTTCTAAAAATTTTCGAAAAAAATTGAGCTACTATTGCACTGTACTGCAGACTCTTCGAACATTCTAGAAATATTTAAGCTTCGGACTGCAAAACATCGATAAACAGGCAACGTGTGATTTCATCTACAAATATAGATGCAAGAAAAACCATAAAATATCAAATTTTGCTGGACAAAAAAAAATGATTTTTTCAAAATTTTTGTCCCTTAGTGGCCGGATGTATCCAAATGGATGCATTCCCATTTTTTATTATTCGAATTTTTTAAATAATCCGTCTTAGTGATTCAATAGACAGTAGGTCTATGAAGGAAGATTAACAACTGCTTGCTTCGAAGTTTGATTATTTAGAGACACGAGAAAAGGATTATTTCTATACGAACGCTATTCTGGAGCATTTTGGATAGAGCCGGCCATTTTCTTAGTGAGTGTTATTTTCTTCTTCTAAACACGTGAATGTGTGTTGAAATGTGTTAACTTATTTATCAAATCGTCAAAACATTTCATATCATCACTACAAGTTACTTCTTCGTAAAATATTGGCTTCATGTATCTAAATGGATACATCCGGCTGTAAAGGGATAAACTATCGTGATAAATATTTGAAGATTTAAGTCAAAAATTTACATAAGAAAAAAAAAAACATCATCAACAACAAGTAGCATAAATTTGCATTATAAAATTGCGAAATCACATATTGAAGATATTACTCTCAATATTTATTATCCTCAAGAAGAAAAAAATGAAAGTTATGGCTCATCTACCATAGTCACTTGATCGTGCTTCTTCAGACTTTTGATTGCTCGATTGTCTAAAACGCAGTTTTGATACATATTCAGATGCTACAAATTTAGCTAAAGTAATAACCAACGAGCTTAATTCAATATCTATTCAAGAATACCGAAAGACATTCCAGGAGTGAATTGAAAGAATGAAACTTTGTACTGAACATCATGGAGACTACTTTAAACATTTACTGTAAAAAGATTAGCAAAATATTTTTTCTATGAATAAATATTTGAAAGTCCGAGAATTTATTGAGTAACCTATATATATAAGTAACGTAAAAGGCATAATTTTATCATAGCCATGTCTTAGGATAAGTCTCAAATCTCGTGAAGACCTATCTCGATATAAAGTTTCAAGTCAAAATTCTCAACACGACATTGACTTACAAAAAATAACCGTAAAAATGCAGTATTATCGTAAGAATAAGCTAAGGACTCAAACTCTTTTTAGGGTATTCATAGCTCATTAGAGTCTACATAATATGTATAGTCCCGACTCAAAAGTGATTAATCAATTGGAGGACTTCCCACGTTTAGTAAGTAGAATAAATGATTGATAAGGTATTAATTTTGTTTGTTTTTTTTTGTTATCAAGGAAAGTAATGTTTATTGTTTAGAATGGAATTTTTCGAAAAGAATATGTACGATAAACAATATGATAAAAACTAATTCATTTTTGTAATCTGTAAATCTTTTAACACAAATAAAATTATATCGATCTATATGTTTTGAAAATGCATTTTACAATTTATTCAATTGATGAAATAGAGTTCATATCGAAATTACTAATCATAATGATGATTATAATGAAAATTAATATGCAAAAATTAAAAACGAATATTTCTGATCTGCTAGTTGGTTTTTGAACAATACAAAAAGAATCTATCTTCCGATTATTGTTTCTGTATTATAAATAAACAATGATATTAATTAATTTTCCATACAAAACAATTATCTTTACAGTTGTAATAGATATCGATCTAAACGGATCAGACTGACATAAGTCATTCTTTACTTGTTAGATTTTATAACAGGTAAATGAATCTCTTGATTAATCATCACTATCTCTTATTCAATACAGGAATGACGTAAGAAATATGTGACATTACTAAAAAAGCTTTTCATTATTTATGTTCATAAATTTTCTTTCGCTTGGTATCTATTGGCAAATACAAAAGCTTCATAGGACTACAAATTCAATATTAACTTTGTATACAGATTAAATATTCGTTAGACACGAGTATTATTAATTAATTGTATGCTTAAGCTTCTTCCTACGTTAAATTTGCATTATTTTATCTTTTTTTTATTGTCTATGCGAATAAATCTATGATAAATTATAATGTTAAATAATTATTTGATTATATTTCGATCAGATGACTTGATATGAATTTGAGTTGATGCAATATATTTTCATGAAATACAGTAGTTTGATGTACGTTCTCCTAGAGAAATAATCTTCAATATCAATAGAAAGTATTTGATTTGCGAAAAAGAAACATTTTTTTAAGAAAGATCAATTACACTCAAAATGTTTTGAACTGTTATAAAACAAAAAATCTCTACAATCTTTTATTATTTCCTGAACACACGAAAGATTGATGTAAAATTACGAATAACCTCCGAATTACTTTTCATAATACAACAAATAGATTTTGTATTTCAAATTTTATAATTCAAGACAATACATAATATTGAACAAACAAACAAAAATTCTCAGGCTAAATAATGAACATTGAGTGAAAATATGTCCCTATTTGTTTTCGTATCGCTTCTAGATAAAAAAAAAAAAGAGTAAAAGAACACTGTTGTATTATTCTTTCGAAACAATATCAATTTAAGTTTGTCTGATAGATTGATCAATGCATATGAGAATAGATTATCAAAAGCAAATGCTTGTTTTCATTCACAATCGATATGGTACTCATAAAAATCATAGTAGAAAATTTCTATTATTTTCAAATGGCATTAAAATGAATCTTATGAGAGAACCATTCTAAATGATAAATTAGAACTCAGTCAGATATGAAAATTCCCAAAAGGATGAATATCCTTAGATCTTCCTTTCAGAGTTATAGCCATTTTAGGCTATAGCACGGTATGAACTAACAAATCGAATGAAGAATATATTCGACGTGAACTTTGGTCTACTTATGACTAGAATGTCTTACCTCGCGAGATATTCAACTTTCAAAAATCACTCATGTCCCGCCAAGAAAACTGAAATTTCTTCGATATTCTAGTCACAAGTAGGCCTAAGTTTAGGTCGAAATGCCCATCATTTGATTTTTTGATATACATAACTTTGAAGAGAACGTCTAATGATATTCTTCCTTTTGAGACTTTTCATATCTCATTGAATTTTACGTGATACGTAGAGTTCGAACTCAAAAAACAAATTCATTATTTCAAAAAATAACGTATTGCAATATTGAAATTAAAATATTTATATGAATTGACAAAATCTTATCATAAAAATGAATAATATGTAAATGTTAGGATCTAATATTTTCTGAAATCAAAACAAATTTTTTTTATCACAAATCGAAATGCATCATCATGTGATTTTTTTTTAATAAAAAAATTTATTATTGGTACGAAGATTATTCACCGGTAGAGCTTGGTGATTCCAAAAATTACTCGGAGCCGGAACCGGAACTGTGGTTCTGATTACTAAAAATGATAAAAAGAACCGTTCCCAAAATATCACATAAAACCAACAGCGTTAAGCTATTAGATAGACACAAAAATTTTAAATCTATTTTAAGAAATTTTCACTATTGAATTGTTGAGATTAACAACGCCATACTTTAATAAAACAATATTATACATATATATATATACCGAAATCTTTAATCGCAAGAATAAAAAGTGAAGATTTCTCGACATAGATTTAAAAATTTTTTACATCTATCTAATAATTTAACAGTTACATGATCAATAGATAAAAAATTCTCTGTCAATGTCTCGAGACTTTTTTTTGTCTATTCTAAAAATGAACGGTATGTTATTGAATTGTAAAGCTGCGGGCAAGTTAATGTTTTCTTTTCTAAGACATTATAAAGTAGTAGTTCAGGTCAACTTTGCATTTCATACATGTATGCAGCTGTTACAATAGAAAAAAAAAAAGAAGTTTAATAATTGCTCGAGGACACTTATGTCTGATGAATGGATCAATGTCGACTAGGCATCATTTATGACTTGTTTGTGATATTTTTTGTCTAGGTATTTCTCAATACAATGACAACTGAAAAGTGTCTCTCACAATATTTGACAAGCAATGAGTCGGAAAAAAACAATATCATGCTGAATTATACGTTCGATCGGTTCGGTATGACGTCCATCGCGAACTTGCTTCGTTAATGTACATGTAATGAACTAAATTATTACATGAAATAACGCAAATTTAACACATTTCAATGCATCGTTCTTTCATCTACAATAAAATATCATTTCGTAGAGTTCGAAAGGTTTGTCTCGGATCCAAATTTGAAATAAGTTTAATAAACCAATTTCAAAGTATAGAAATTTTGAACATCCGATAAACTCTATTATTATTATTTCAAATCTAAAGTTGAATGATACATATACATTTTTTTGTTCTTTAACATTTGCATTCAATTTTACATCACTATGTGATTATTCAATGTAAAATAATACGAAATGATTTAGCATAACGTATGATTCATTGTTTTCATTGGATTTTATCTAAACAAGTTATTTGAATTTATGTAAAAATTACATTTCATTATTGATTTATATTTATATATGCAAAATCTAGATTAATATTATTATTATTATTATGCACAGTTATATAGGTCTAACGTTTTTTTTTTTTTTTGTAATATCACCAAAATTTTAGAATCTTTTTTTTCTGTCTAAGAAAGAAAAAGAAAAACTACATGAAAGTATACATTGACAATGTAATTTAAATAAAATCAAAATGTTTTTTTTGTTATATTGTCATAAACATATTTAAATAATAATTGTCGTTGCTGAGAAACAAAAAAAAAAAATTTTACATTAATATATATATATATATAATATGGAATGATATTTGTCATAATATGGATTATTAAAACAAACGAAAAAAAAACAACATTCTATTTGATCACTGTAAATAACAAGAAAAGCAAAAATATTTAAAGATTTATGCCCATATTTTGTAATGATGATTGTTCTTATTGTTTTTTAAGATTAATAATAGATTGACTATTTTTTCGATATTTATTTGTTGATGTTATTGGAGAAGCAATATCATTTGTATGTTTTGTTGATGTATTAAAATTTCGTCCTATTCTTATAGTTGATTCTTTTTCATTGAGATTACGTTTATTAATATCTAATTTTTTCATACGTAATTCATATGCTTTATTTTCTTTATATTCAAAATTATTTGAATGTGATATTGAACTTCGTGGACTTTTTATTGATGATATACTTGAATTATCATCACCATTTGATGATTGTAAACGTTCACGACGAAAATCTTGTTCATCAAATCCTGAATCTCGATCAAGTTTTGATATATCATTGATTTTATCAATAATTTCAGATGATTGTGATCGTTTTGCAGCAAGTACTGGCTTACGACGTTGTTTTGTTAATTGTTCTTCTTTTTTAATTGCTTCAAAAACATTTGGTAATGTATTTGAACGTGAAGAATATTGACGTATATTATTAGCAGATCGTTTACGATTAGCTGCTTGTTCTTGTTGAAATTTTTGTTTTTGTGCTAAATAATATGCAGAACAATATCCACCTGATTTTTTAGTCGAATGTGAAAGAGTTGATGGTAATGGTTTTGTTTTTTCTTCTAATATACCTTCACTACTTTCTAAACTATCATTATCCATATTTGTTGTATCATCCTTAGGACTTTGTTTTTTATTAATTTCCATCACATCTTCAATATCACTCATATTAAAATCATTTGTAATTTCAGAAGATGTTGGATGAATATAATCATCAATTGTACCAATAATAGATTCAGTAAAACTTGGTTTTTTTTCATTGAAATTATCAAAATTTTGATATGATGGTTTGGTTGATTGAATTATGATTTTTGTATTATCAATAGAAGGATGATTATTAATATTAATATGTGATTGTTTTTGTAATTGATTAATTGGTGACGATGATCGAATTAATTGATTTTCAATTGGACTTATATGTAATGATTTAATTGTTTCTTCGATAGATTCTTCTTTAAAATCTAATGATGATAATGATGATGGTTTACTCGATGCTGCTTCTGTTAATGATGAATAATCTTGATCAGTACTTGGAGATGATTGTTTATTATAAATTGATGATGGAGTAACACGTGTACTTTTTATTTTTGTTGTTGTTGGTGGTGAATGATTATGAGGATGATGATGATGAGGACATACAAATGGTTGATTAAGAATATCTTCTTCACTTTTATAAGTTATTTGTCCAATACGATGACGTCCATCAGCACCACGTGTTATAACAAGTTGAGCATCGACTAGATTTGTATCATGATTAGCTGGTTTTGCTAAAGGAAATTCTTCAGTTTTTATTGTTACAGATTTTCCATAAGGAGTATTTTTTTGAACACTAGGTGATATATTTGTATTTGGTATAGCAAGTATTGGTATATCAGAATGATGATGATGATGATGATGATGATGATGATGTTCAGATTGACGATGACCTTTAAAAATAATGAAGTTAATAAAAGAACAAAAAAAAAAAACTAAGGTAAATTTTTATCGATTTATTACCTGATCGTCGACATGGATCATGTTTATTAAGATAATTTTCAAGTGTATCCCAACCACCACCAACACGAACCATAACATGATTTCTTAAAATCTTTAGAAAAAAAAAAGAAAGATTTCAATAATTTTATATTAATGAAAAAATTTTGTTTTTTTTTAATATACATACACGAATAAATATAATTGTTCCACTTTCACCAATACGATATTTACCTTCACCAATACGTATGACGGGGAAACGTTGTGAACAACAACATGTATTTGTAATTTTGACTACCTTTGAAAAAAAAAATCTCATGGCATTGTTAAGTAATCATGAAATCTTGTTTTTTTTTTTTTTGTCTTACTGTTTTATGTAAATGTGATGATGAAGTTGGTGGTACAATGGAATTTTCTCGTTCTACTATCGTTCGATTAAATTGTGATTCTTCATTTGATGTCATAATTGTTGTAGTTATTTCATTTGATGTTGTACTATCATAACTTTCTTCACTATTTTGTCTTCGTTTACTATTATTATTATTATTTGAAAATTTTGGTATATGTGATACATGTTGTTCTAAATGATTAGTATCATTTACATGTGTTATTAATGAAAAAGTATTATTTAAATTTTCATTTGTTTGATTATCATTATTATTATTATTATTATTTTCATCATCTATAGATTGATAATTTATTACATTTAATATATTTTTTTCATGTTCTTCATTTTCTCTTTGTAAACATTGAAATTCTTTATATGATAATATTTCTTTTTGTTTATCACGTTCAATTTCTCGTTCAATTTCATCTTCAAGTTTAATTATAGCTGGTACACTAACACCAAATTTAGCACCAAAACGAGCTATTTCGAGTAGACAAAGAAGAAAATTTTTTTCATTTTTTCGTAATATTAAATCATCAGATTCAAACATAAGAACTTCACGAACACAAGCTGTATGTCGTGCCCATTTAATAAATTGTGATACATTATCACGTGCATTAAATGTTTTTGGACGAACATTTGAACGATATTTACAATTTGTTAATAATGATGATGATGGTAATATTTTTCGTGCAGCAGCATTTACATTATTAGCATGTTGACAAAGAAGAACACCGTTTTCTGTAGAAAATAAATAAATTTGTATTATAAAAAAAAGAAAAATCATAATTAAATAAAATCATTTTACCTAAACATTCAAGAAAACTATCGGCTGTAATTGGACACCATTCAGGATACATATTTGAAAGCCAATCAGCAAGATCTTCTTTCATAGCATATAAATATTCATCTGTTGTTGAATATGGTTGTAGAGATTTCATTTCAAGAAAACGTGATTGAGGATCAATCACTAATTGATCGATAGCCATAGCCATCGTTTGATTATCTTTTACTAAAAATACAATTATCAATAATAACTTATTAATCAATCGATTCAATTATTTACTTACAACGCATACTCTTTCTCTTACTATGAATTCATATGATGATGATGATGATTATTAATAGGAACGAATAAACTATACTTCTCTTTCTCTCCTTCTTTTTTTTTTTTTTTATTCTCCTTCAAAATTTCTCATTTCTTTGCTGGTGAATACATGTGTGGGCGAGTGACTTTTTTTTTTGATAGAACATATAGCACCCTTTCGGTCATAGTCATTCGTTCTCACTTGCCCGCTCTCTTTGTCCTTTTTCTCTCTTCTCGTTGATTTAAATTTTATTTTAGTCGTTGTATTCAAACGATCAGCATTGTGTCGTGTTCAACGACCTCATTTTATAATTAAGACAGATTAGGATATCTATATCTTTTCATCTTAATTCATTTGATGGACAAGAGATGTGTGAATAATTATAGCCATTTGCATGTGTAGGAGTAATTTAAATTTGTACAAAAAAATTAGTTTAGACCAAGGAGGAGAAAAAAACAGAGATGCATAGAAGCGTTGGTGAATAAAGGTTTTATTGTACATCACATCTATTATATTATACAATTACAGAGTAATCAAATGAAAGATAGATGATGTAAGATGATGAACAATTTATTGATCGAAATTAAGGAACAAAAAGCTGACACCACCTCCAATCTCGTATATATATATATACAGTTGATAAAAAAAACCCGATAAAAATGATGATGTATGCTTCATATCAAATGATGTCTCAATACATATGATAACATATTTGTTCATCTATTTTCCAATTCAACCAATATTCAACGATCATTGTTATAGAACATATCATTGTTACAAACTTAGATTAAGTGTAAACAATGCTTCAATGTTTAATCAATATTACAACTAACATATAAAAATTGACTATGATCTTTTCTTCACATGTCAAAGATAAATCTTATACTGATATATAAAATATAAACTTCGATGTTTTTTTTTTTTTCTTATAGTAGACATTATATGCACATAAAGAGAAGGAGACACAGGTCAAACAAACAAAAAAGAAGAAGAAATGCTACAGCAAATTGGATGCATATGTTCAAGACGAAATGTCTGTCTACAATATAGACAAAGAAAAAAAAAAAAAGATGTTTATTTATAAGATGCCATGAAAAATTTCTTTTCTATGAATTCTAATTATTTGAATCAAGAGACAGAATAAAAAAAAAAAAAGAAATCACGAATGACAATAAAGTTTTCTTATCAA